TCATTTGCTGTCTTATCTTTTATGTTAGAAACCTCAATCCATTTAGAGTAATAACCGATAACTACTAAATAATTTTGATTACCAAATTGCAAGATATCAAGGGCAATTTTTTTCGAATGGTTTAGTTGGAATTTCATGTTGCATTAGAGGTTCTTTTTGATTTCTATTTCTGAATTTTTCACATATTTCACATTTGGAAACAAGCTGCTCGATGTCATTTGTCATACCTGGCCAGTAAAAAATTTCACGGGCTCTACTTTTACATTTTCTTCACTTTTACCTAGCTCTTTCAACAACCTTAGAGATAATTATATCATGAGTAACCTCATCAGATCCTGCAATTATGATATCATCAAAATAAACTTCCACATCCCACCAAATCACCAAATCATTTTTGGTTTCCTTTCTGAAATATTTCTGGGGCGGAGGATATATCAAATGGCATTTTATTAAATTTATATCTTCTATAAGGAGTATTAAATGTACATAGTTCAGAACTAGCTTCATCTAGTGGTACATGCCAAAATCCATCTTTTAAGTCTACAACTGAAAATACTTTTTCACCTTCTAACCTACTAATTATATCATCTGAAGAAGGAATTTGATAGTGTTCCCTTTTAATTACTTTATTTAGATCTCTAGGATCCAAGCATAATCTCAGAATCCCATTAGGTTTTTCAACTATAACCAAACTTTGAACCCAATCAGTTGGTTTATTTACTTTCGATACTATCCCTTCTCTTTCAAGTTTATCTAAAGTATCTTTTAATTTAGGCTGTAAAGCCTGAGGAACACGTTTGAGGGGTGTATTACTGGCATTACATCATCTTTAAGGGTTATATGATATGGTTCGTCAAGAAATTGCCTTGTACCTGTAAATACATCTTTATACTGAGCAATCAAATCATTTTTATTAATGATATTATATTATTTATTATTGATATTGAAAGGAATCAATCCTTTCAATTAGCTTTAATGCAGAACAAGCTGTTAACAATAATATAGGCTTAGATCTTACATCAAGAACATAAAACTGTAAAGGTACATTTTTAAGCCTTTCATTAAAATTACCATATGCAGTTAAGAACAAATCAGTTTCATTAAGTTTGGGCTTAAGTTTAAAATTATTTAAAACATATAAAGGCAAAATATTTACTTCTGCACCAGTATCTAACTTAAAATCAACCTTGAAAGACTTATTATTTAAATACATTGTAATACTTTTCACCCATGTTTCACTTACCTTGTGAATATCCTTATTTACTTCATCAATAGAATTTGTTAGTTCTTTGATTGATTTTGCACTTATTTTAAATTCACTGTGCCAGTTTACTGGTGGATTTATCATTGCAGAGTCAACAAATACACTATGTTCATTATATATACTAAGTTCATTATATGGTATTTCAACTTCATAAATGTTCTTGGGGCACCTCGCGGCAAAGTGGTTCTTTACTTTGCATTTCGCACACGTCTTTCCGAAAGCTGGACAGTCCCGATATTTGTGCCTTCTTCCGCACTTCTTGCAGTCATATTCTAGTGCTGATTGCTTCTGACTGTTTTGTTTGATGCTGCTGTTTTCTATATTTCTTCCATCTGTTCACAGTCGCTGGATCATCTTTCATGTTCCGGAGTTGCTCTTTGCTTGTTTCAGCGGCACAGACTATTTCTATAGCTTTTTCTAATCCCAGAGTTAGATTCTCGAAGCAAACGTTCGGTCAGACTCCTATCCCAAATGCCTAATACAATACCGTCGTGAATCAATCCATTTTCTTGTTTAGCAAACTCACAAGTTGAAGCTAAAGTCTTTTAACTGAGTGACATAACATTCAATTGTTTGTCCTTCTTGCTGGCTACATGAAAAGAATTTGTAACGTTCATATACGACATTCTGCCGTGGTGAACAATAATCTTCAAAAGACTTCAAAGACCTCTTCATAATTCTCTTTATTCTCAGGTAGCTCAAATCGAAACGTGTTATAAATTTCGAGTCCTTCAGTACCGAGTAAATTCAAAAGGATTGCAATTTTAGTTTTATCTGGCTTGCCATCTTTTTCCGCTACAAGTTGTTTAGTTTGTTAAACTTAATAATTTCTATACTTTCAAGGTAGACTCAACTAATGAGTATATCTCCAGAATTCAAAATTTTTATTATTACATTTTTAAACAGTTCACATGACATTCAGGTAGCACAGTAATACGTGCATCACAACAATGAAATCGCATAGCATGAACGCCATTACAACTATAGTTATTTTAAATATACATCACAATTTTTTTTTCCAAATTTCATCACTTTCTGACCACTCATTCTTGGTGTTGCATTTTCAATGTCGAGCAGTGTATTTAAAAGCTACTTAAGTAAGAAAAACACTTTAAATGAGGAATAAAAATTTGAACAATATTTACATGTACTTTACATTGGCTAGGACTTTTTTCAGAAAATCTTTTTTTTTTGGGGGGGGAGGGGTTTGATCTTGTTGTAAAAATCTTCACAAGCTAATCCGATATTAATTTTACATGTCATCAAGATCATCCTAAATCAAACCCTTATCGTCAGTCCATGTGTTGTTCATCAAAGGAAATACTCTCTCAACTGGTGCTGATGTCCCAAATAAGCAGAAGACATACTTAACAATCTTGATCAGACTGGGGACTGGTATGTGATTCTCCTTGAAGTGATCAAACAGCCTGAGCCATTTTTCTTCACTTGAAGTAATCACATCTCTGGTAGACTCTTCTCGGTTCCACTGTTTCCAATTTGACTGCAAATACTCCTTAGCAAGCACAACTTCGTCAAACAGCTGATCAGTATTTAGTTGCATATCAGGTACATCAAGAAGACTGCTGTTAATTATTTCAGCAAAAATTTCAGCATTTTCCCAATTAACAGCATTTGTTTCAAGAAAACTGTTCAGCATTTCCAGAGGTCCACGTATGCAATGCATTTTTCATAAAATGCCATCATATTCTTCTTTCACATTGTTACGGATTTGCTTGTCTAGATTCCTGTAGATGTTCTTTGCGTCCATAGGGATAAAGTTTGAAGCCTTTCTTTCTGTCAGGTTTCTTTTGAGAGCTTTATGAGCTTCAGCAACCTCAAAATCTGTAGTGTTATCTTTTCCCATTACCAGGATGGCCTTGTCAAAGAGTGCAAGCTGTCCGTGGACAAACCACAAGTACAGCTCGCACGTTAAATCAGTAAACAAGTTTTTCTATTGTTGATGGGCACGTGTCTTGGTCTAAACAAATGCTTTCAGACCTTCAAAAATCTGTAAAATTCTTTCCAGCTCGCACATCATTGACAGAAAGTTCCCATGTTGAACAAGTTTATGGTACTGTATCTCGGCATATTCACAAAATTCTTTTAGTTTAGTTACACAGACTGTGTATATGTGGAAGTATTTATAAATCATCACCAGTAAGGCATCAATATCGATTGGGAGACTGTCTAATGCAGTTTGCACACGGTTGTGCACAATGTGTGCTCCACATCCGATTCCACCGATTTCCCGTCCTAGGCTATTCTTGAGTTGATAGAAGACATCGTTTTGCCCTGCTCTTTTCACACACCAAAGTAAAAGTGTTGCAGTTACGTCCACAAAAACCCACTACTTTGTTGTTTGAATCGTTTTGCAGCAGGACCTCTACTGCAAAACGATTTTGCAGCAGGACTGCATAAGTAATTTGTAAGAATTTCAGATGTTTCACCTGCCACAGATTTGAAATCTAACAGCTTTGCTAGCACACCTGAATTAGGATTAAAGTAGTGCACAACAATTGGCCCAAGTTTTATATCTTTTCTGTTTGATGCATCCATACTTCAATATGCAGTTTGACGTGGTCAAGTCTTCTTTAAATTTTATATCCTTTCTGTTTGATGCATCCATACTTCAATACGTAGTTTGATGTGGTCAAGTCTTCTTTAAGCTCTTCTTGAGCTACAGGAGCTATGCATTTAAAACTATTACCTCACACTTAGTTTTCCCGAGTGAGAATTTAGGTTAAAGAAATTTAGAAATTAGCTTTGATGAACAAGAATTCAAATTGAAACTTCGGCTATGGTTTGCTGTGTGGTAAGCAAAGGTCGCCTCTTTCGCTGGTCTAAGTTTTTATCATTAGAACTCGCAGTTTGAAAAAAACTGGTCAGTTTTGAGAAGCTGGCAGCACATGCTAAATTCTTTTTGTGTTACTCGATCACAAATGATCTTTTATATTGAATCGACCCCCATGAGCAAAAGAAAACTCAGAATTACAATATGAACATTTAACTCTATCATCTTGATCTTGACTGCCAGTACATACCTTCTTCTAGAAAAGGAATTCATTCTGTAAATCTTGAGTGAATTTACACTACTGTTTTGGCATTTTAACAGAGAATGCATAAATTTTAAATTAAAGCATAAATAAAACAGCGCTAGCTCACTAACACAACAGACATCACTGAAAGTGACTGACAGCTGACTGACATATACCTAATGCTGAGTCTGGAAAGCCTCTCGCATCGTGCATGGTCACGATTGGCGAGACAAGACAATACGATGACAATATTATTTATTAGAAGATCATCCCTCTTCTATAGTTTTCACCTTTTATACAGTACAAAGATAACTGACAAAGTAATTATCCTAAATACTTAACAGTTAATTATTTTTAGACTTTTTTGGGCATCTATAAAATCAAATTTAATTTTTACCGGGACGAGAAGTAAACCGGCCGGGACATCGGATTTTGTCTGAAAACCGGGACGTCTGGCAAGCCTAGAAATTAACAATCTCAGTGATGATTTCCATCGGCTATTTTGAATGGGAATAATAACTGGGACAAATTTAACATTCAAGAAACTATTTGCTATCAAAGGTAGTTTGCTGAAGTCCTCTCCCCAGCTCTATCAAAAAAAAAATTTTTATGGAAAACATTGCTTTCTGAGTGGGTAGAGGGAATATTAAAAACTGCATTTTAATTGAAACATTAAGAAAAATGAGAAACATATTTCTTACTCGCATGTCTGGGAAAAAATTGTCATAACCATGAGCTCCTCCAGTACATATTTCATCACCGGGTTTCACCTTTTTACTGAAATATCAAGCCAAAATAATTTATACAATTAACGAATAACAGTAGTTTTTAAGGTAATTTTCCGTTTCGCCAGCGCATATCTCGCCAAGAAGACTTTATTGGCGACAACATACAGTATACACATAAAAAATGTTAGTTCTAAGAATTTTCTATTTTCAAGGCATAAACATTTTAATATCATTTAAAATTTTGTAAAAAAGCCAATAAATAAAGACAATAAATTTGTAAAAAGACATTTATTTAAGAATTTACTATGCTTTCATGGTTCAACATCCTGATTCGCCGGTTCATATCACGTAACCACAAGTAATCTCATCTTACGTAAACTACGTTACATAAATCTAATTCTCTCAGTAATTATCTACATTAATTTTAGTTAAATCTTAATTTGGAATACAAGTTTAAGTGCAAGAATTATTTCAATTCGTACAAATACCTTACTCAGAAATTATGTAAAACCGCATTGCTTTACTTCAACTAGTGCATTCTCATTAGAATTGATGAATTTAACCCTTGATTTTGCCATTTCTATATTTTCGCCTTTAGGTGAATGGTGTGATTGCATCCTAATTGACTTTAATTATGCAAATGGCCTTAGGGCATAAAATTGGTCTATCTTGTAAAAATTCTATGTAATTGTATGCTGGTATTAAAAGAAACTACCAATCTGATAAGAAATGGCTGCAACTTGTTTTGAAAATGAGGCATAAAAGACTACAAGCAAGGATATTCTGTTTGGCATCAGTTGTACCATTATTGGCGACTTTTATCACCTGTGCCGGCAAAACGGAAAAGTACCGTTTTTAATACATAAATTCCAGTCAAAAGATAAAAATTTATTTATGATTATTTTATATCCCTTATAATATTTACAAAAATTTAAATTACCTAAAAGAGTAACTGTTTAATATGCAAAATAAATATGTAAGTAAAAAAAGTAGTCTATGCTTCTTAAAGTCCTAAAATCAAATTGATAACAGTTCTACATAACAGTTTTAATCATACTTCTAAAAATAAGGATTGTAATAAATAGATGAATTAAAATAATGAAAATGCAATTCAATAATATTAGTAATTTAACCTCTTTACTCACAATATATCATATATGATATGTTAGGCTTCACTTTCCCCTTGTGCACTCATTGCATCATATATGATACAGGAATTATGTGTCAGTGAAGGCTGGATTTTACAGCCTTTATCTAAGGATTTAATAGTATTCTGTTTTGATTGAAATCAGTCATATATGAAACATATATGATATATATGTATATGAAACATATATGATATGCATCTCTAATTCAAGCGGGGGGAGGAAGAATATCCTGTTCACTTTTTCTCTTCTATTTATTATTGAAGAGACAGGAATTCCTGGATATTTAAGGAGAATACAGTACAAAGTTTGAGATCCGAACTCATTAGGACTTCGGCAATCCCGAATTTGGGATTTTTCCGGATGCTAGATCATCAGTTTAAATCTAGTAAGATGGCATGTAGAAATTATAAAATTAAAAATATGAAATAATGAAGCATTTATGCTCTAAAGGGTACCAAATTTACAAAAGAAAAAGATTAATATTTATTTGTTTAATTTATTAAACATTTCTAAGTTGTTTAAGTTGCTTCATTTTTTGTGCTAATACTTTCTCTTTAACTCTGTAGACAAATATAATTTCTTATTCAAAGTTCAATTGTTCAAATCCTGTAATTGCTGTGTCATCAATAATTTTGATTAATTTGTCAATCAAATTGTTTTTCGTTTTCAATAACCTCTCTATAACTTTGTTCAGTATTAGTATTTTCTGGATCTAAGACCATACTACAGATTCTGCCATCCATTAAGTGATTGATGATTGGAACACTGCCATTGGAATGAAAAACTTCTGTTAAATCATCTTCACTATTGATTCTCCACATTTCTTTACAAAATGCATAAATTGGAAAATTTCACCTTTGGTTTGCGATATCTGAAAACCTTCAGATTTGCTGCTATCATCCTCACTATGAAATATGGTGGTTGGCCATAAATTATGCCAAGCACTTTTTAAAGTATATGGAGACACATCCTCCCACGATCTTGCAATACTCCACACAGCAGATTTTGTGCTAAAATATTTCAAAAATTTTTTAATAATCTTGCCATTATTTAAGAAATTTCATACGGAATTTAAAAATGCTACTTTATATTTGCATTTCAGAGCGTGCACTATTCCAGTATCAAGAAGCTGAATGATGGATGTACAATTTGGTGGAAAGAATAATAAGGACACATCTTTCACTAAAGCTTTAAGTATGAGTCATACAATGGTCTACAATCAGGGCAATTCATCAGGTAAACTAACCAAATTTAAATGTTGTATGAAGTGATTTTCAAACCAATTGCTCATTAGCCCTTGTGTTATCCATACTCTTTTATTTGCACGATATATAATGGGGGAAATCTTTACTCCTTTAAATGCTTGAGAATGTGTACTTTTTCAGATTATGAAAACTTTACACTTGTGTGCTCTGGTAAATCTGTTAATCTCGCTTAGGAAGCTTTGACACCAGCTGGAAACTTTTCTGTAGAGGTTGCCAAGGTATTTTTTTCCCCGATTATGAAAATTTTACACTTATGCATTCCTGCAGAATTTGTGCATGCTAAAATTGTTAGTCTCGTTTTGGAATTTTTGACACCAGTTGGAGCCTTTTCTGCAGTTTGCCAAGGTATTTTGCAGTATATGTTGCAAGAAAAAACCAGTTTCATCAGCACTGTAAATTTGTTCTGAAACTAACTTTTCACTATTATTGAGTTCAATGAATTCATCTGCAAATAGTTCAGCAGCTTCAGTATCAGCTAAAGCTTTTTCACCTGGAATTTTTACTTATACAATGGCAATTTTTAAATTTAGTTAGCAACCTGTTGAACATATGCACTCAGTTTTTAAGTTAATATCTTCATAAAATATTTTGGCTTGAACCATTAGCACTGGACCCATCAATGAACCCTCTCGCTGCGACGCTCTCTGACCCATTTAATCATCACTTTTAGCATAATGAATACTTTTTCTGCGATTCATTGTGAGTGGGGTGTTGGAATCCACAAAAAAAGTCAAAAGGTTCCTTTTTCTGTTTTCTTATGTCATATACAGTTGACTTTCCAATGCCACACTCATCACATAATTTTGAGGCAGATATACCTTTATCCATTTTTTGAAGCAATTCAACTTTTTATTCAATGGACATCAACACATGCTTTCACTTTGTAGATCCTGTTGCAGCTCCAGAATTAGAAACTATTTTTGACATAATCGAAAGTTCAAATTTTAATTTTCATAAAATTGCAGTAATCATAACAGTCTACAAAAAATAATAAGCTTGAACATATCAGAAAGTTAAGGAATAGCGTAATCTACTATACTGAATGAAATTCCTTGGAATCAGTTAGTTTAGTTTAGTATCATCCACTATGCATTTCTGGCTATGTATCATGAGATTGGGGATGAAAGACAAGTTGTTCCGCTAAATTTTGACCTGCTTCTATTGCACACTGAGACAGTTAAGCCTGAATTGTATTAGTTTTGTTATTTATTATACTTACATCTATTCTTACACATTTTTAAGGCTTATCTGAGTCCTAAATGAATGAATTCCTACATATAGTTATCAAGGGCCGGTGCTAGAAATCTTACCACCTGATGCTGTCTCTGCAGGTCCTAAGTTCTGCTTTCAAGTGAGTCCAATTTCTAAATTTTTGCCGCCCCTAAATTTTGGGCCCCAGTGCTTTACTTAAATTCTAAAAGTTTTGTCATATCTAAATTTTGTTCTTTGGTGCTTCTCTAAATTCCAAAAATTTTGTCTTCCCTAAATTCTGCTGGCCTGTGCGGCTATACAAGCTCTGGTGCTTCTGGGTTTATGTGAATAACAAATCAGTTATTCTTAATTCAAACAGCTCTAAATATAATCTTTTGGCTTAAGAGTATCATTATCAAAATCTGTTTTTAGCATATGGAAGAAATTTTTGTTAAATATTTCCTCAGCAACATTTCTTAGCGCATTTAACTTAAATCTCTAATCATCGCCAAGCATAATGTCAACAGAGAAATTTACCATACGCTTTGTTATTCAATTACTAATATAAAAAAATTCTTTAGGCATCACTGCATGAATCATGTCATGTGTTAGATAAACATGCAGTGTTGAAAGCAAAATACAATAAATAATGATTCATCAGGTTGGCATCAGAGATATAAAATATTAGTAGGTGTAAAATCAATGATGTTTCTCTGTAGAATGTTTCAATTTGAGATGTATGCTAAGCAGATATGTAGCTACAGAGTCAAATTCACACAAATTTATGCTTAAAATTATTGTTCCTTCAATAACAAGGTATTTTATTTAGTGCCAAAATGAAATTAAGAATTGAGACTCTCCATATGTTTTATTATTAAGGGGGAGATCAAACACACATGCGTAAAGCAAACCAAAAAAAATTCTTAAAAAAAAAGTTGTTAATGGCTTTGAGGCACGGATTCTAGATCATTCTGGATATTGGCTGTCAGAATCTCAGACTTTGTATTGTAATATTTTCAGCAGCTAAATAACTGGAATTTTCATAACTTTTAGGTACACTTTTGCTATTAATGCTCTGAAAATAGGAAGCAGCCAGTCACATTGCTTTTCAAGCACTCATTGAGTAGAGCACATAACAAAACATATTTTAAGTGAAAATCAAGATATTTTGAAGAAAAGTCAATTTTATAGGAATTTTTTATGTAAGTAAGCATTTAAGCAGGTCATGAGATCAGGAAAGTATTTTATTTTCTTTATGCTGGGAGTGATACGGTTAATATAATATTCAAAATTTAAACTTACCTAACAACTGTCCAACCAGCATCTATATCTAAAAATATGGGCTCAATTCTTGTATTGTCAGCATAATGCATTCTAACTGGTAACTGTTCTTTAGCATAAACTCTCATGTGGTTACTTCTGCAACGCAATTTAGAAATCACTTCATTCACTGCAGCTGCAAAATAAGCAAAAAATGAATTACACATTTTCATTTGTAAAACGTTTATAAGTATGTGACTATATTGGATACTCAGTTTTTGACAAAAATCACAAATAAATATATTATCGGAGTTATTCAATTGAATGTTACTTGAAATCATACAAATAGATGATAAAAATACTTTTTACTTTTCTAAAGTTTGACGTAAAAAAAGGTAGTTTGACGTAATTTTACTCCCCCCACTTTTTTTCGTGTGTGTAAAACATTTTACATTTATTTTTGTAAAAAATATTTGTCAATACTTTATCTTCAATTTTAATGTGTATTTATCAAAGTATAAAAAATGAAATGGTGAAAAAATAAAAATTTTCTGAGATATACCCATTTGAACACATTCTCTAGTTATTCTTTAAGGATTTTCTCCTTTTATTCACAAAAATGGGTACTTTTCCGTTTTGCCAGCACAAGCGATAAAGTCGCCAATAATGGTACAACCGATGCCAAACGGAATATTTTCACTGGACTTTCAACGGAATATTAACCCTTTACACGCCTCATTTTTAAAACAAGTCGCAGCTTTTTCTTATCAGATTGATTGTTTCTTTCAATACTGGCGTATAATGACATAGAATTTTATCAGATAGTTCAGTTTTGTCTAAGGCCATTTCGGTAATTAGGTCAATTAGGATGCATCACAGCCTTACCCGAAGCCGAAAATATAGAAAGGAAAGTCAAGGGTTAAATTCATCAATTCTAATGAGAATGCATTAGTGAAGGAAAGCACTGCAACTTCTGAGTACTTCGTACTCATTGAAACATTTTGCATTTAAACTTGGTTCCAAATTAAGATTTAACTTGAAATTAATGGAGATAATACTGAGAGCATTAGATTTTTGTGAGAGTAGTTTACGTGAGATGAGATCGCTTGGCGTCACGTGATATGAACCGGTGAATTAGGATGTTGAACCATGAAAGCATAGTAAATTCTTAAATTAATGTCTTTTACAATTTATTGTCTTTATTATTGGCTTTTTAAAAGTTTTAAAGCGATATTAAATGTTTATGCCTCAAAAAAAAATTCTTAGAACTAAAATTTTTTATGTGTATACTGTACGTTGTCGCCATTAAAGTCTGCTTGGCGAGATTTGCACCGGCGAAACGGAAAAGTACCCAAAAATGTTTGCAAATTTTTTTAAACATATACATAAATCTAAAATTTTGCTTTAATATTATGCAGAATGCTTGCAAAAAAGTTTCACCAAATTACTATAATAATGTTTCATATACTAAATAAATCGAAAATAATCACATTTTTCAGAAAATAGCTTTAAAATTATTTTTAGAATATGTGTTGGAAATTGGAATATTATATTTCAAAGACTGCTTTACTTCATAAGTTACACCTTTGTTCGTACACATTTCTGCACATGGAAATTAAGTACTTTTAAAGACCATTAATGAAAAAAAAATTAAGGACCTATGAGCAAATGAGAACTGAATAAATTCAATTAAAAATATTATATCTATGCCTGAGCTCACTTTTAATACCATCCTAAAATTAAAAGAGATTCGTAAGCAGGATGCATTGTTATTAAACATAGCTTAATTAACATAATTATTATATTTTGAGAATAAAATAAATATTAAGAAATTTATCAAGTAGCATTAAATATTTCACACTTATAATAACTGGACATATATGAAAGAAGATCAAAGACATTTCAGTTACTTTTACTACCAGCTAGCTTTTATATTTTTTATGTCTCATTTTGTCACATACTTGCTCAGTCTAGAGGTTTAGTAAATAGTAAGTAGATTTTATGTCAAGCAGCATATGTTAAAATGAGCATTAAAATCATAATCAGCATGATTTATAACAAAAGACTGGCTGTTATCACTGTTCCTGCTTGCCTAGAGAGACCTGCTGATCAGAACAGACCTGAAAGGCCTGATGTAGGCACAGTTAGTAAGTATTGAAAGTTAGCTGAGATCTAAGCTAACTTTCAAATATCAGATCTGCGCAGTTACTGTTGTAGCTTCGTGTAGAGTTCCAGGGGTTGTAACTCAGTTAATATACTTTAAGGTTCTATTAAGCCACTAAAGCACTAGAGGTGATAAGTTGTTTTGCATTATTTTAAGTTTCACCAGATACAAAGAATAAGTTTTGCATGAATTTTTATATTTTTGTGTTTCACCTTGTGACCACTGTAAAAGTTAATGAAAGCCAATAACTTGCTTTAATATGCAAAGACAATTTTTAAGGATAAGCACTTAGTTATAAGGAATTAAATTAGGTATTAGATAACCTTAGTCATTATGGATTTACATGGACTACTATTTAAACTTAAATTTATTTCTTAATAATATTTGTTTTAAAAAAAAACCTATGAATATCACAATCTAATACAGATTTCACAGTTTAAAATATATGCAATTTCATTACATTGCATTTTTTAAACAATACTAGGATTTTAATTACACATTAAAATGTACAAAACATTTATGTTTTGTAGCTTTTAATACATTTCTACAAAACATTTATGTTTAGTAACAACAAAACAAAATAATTATGCGCCTTTTTAATTTGAAGGCCTGCCCAGACATTTTGGCTAATTTATATCGATTTCCTTCTCCTTAAGCATCTTTTCTAACAATTAGAAATTTGTCTCAATATGCAAAACACTGTTCTCATTAGTTCCTGCCTGTTTTATCTCCTAACTGTCAAACTCTCCACAATGTACTACTTATGAGGGTTTACTTGATCTGATAAAAGTTAAATAGTCCACACACACACACACACACCCCACCCCTCTGACAGACGTGAAACAAATTATGGCTATGTCTGAAAGTAACTATAAATCAGAGGTTGAAATAAGCTTCTTATTTAAAAAGAACATAGAACATAAAGACATGTTCTTATGCTAACAAAATCAATTACAGCTCGTGGTGACGTAATTAAACAAGAAGAGTCAAATTCAAACTAAAAATATGGACTAGTGGTCAAAAACAAGTAGACAATTTAATTTCAATTTAAATCTGGTTCAATAACTCTATTGTCATAATAAACTCAAATGTCAGCAGTGGTAATGGAAATTATCAGAGCTGATAGGAACTAATACAGGAAGCAAGTGGAGGTCAGAAACACACTTCTTGTCTTACACTCCAAAAACCTCAGTTTAAAAACTGTCTCAGTGATTTGCATTGTGGTGAGGAAATAGAAATGGGAAATTATAGTAAAGGCTGAAATTGTTAACAACTGGGTAATTTATATAATAATTACATATCTCTGAAGAATAACTTTCTTTACATATTTAGTTCATTTCTTCAACACGTTTCCTTTTCACTTTAGAATTTTTGGATTTAATTAAAAATTTCTGCTATTCTAAAAAACAAAATGCATTTAGAATGTATGGAAAAAGCTGCTAATTTTATTTCTTGAGTAATACAAACATTCAGAAGAAATATGAAATACAATGGTAAGGTCAGGTCACAGAGCTGGTGTGGCATAATTTTTAGAATTTAGCGACACACCAAGCAACAAAATCTACAAATGGCAAACTTTTAGAATTTAGAGCAGGCATTGGAAGCAGAATTTAGAAAGACACCAGGCAGCAGAATTTAGGATCCACAGAGACTGCATCAGGTGGCAAAATGCCTAGCGCCAGCCCTGTGTATGATGCATTAAAACATATTAAATGAATATTTTGAATTGTCAGTTTTCATATTCTTTATTAAAAAAAGTTTCCTTACTGCTTGTCCATATTATAAGATTAGAAGCATTTTTGATATTTTCCATGCTTGTGTCTAGTGAAAAGTAGAGAAAGAGAAAACTGATGGGAATTCTGAACATTCTGAGAAATGGGAAAACTTATCATGAAAATATTAAAAAAAGTTTTTAATTAATTACATAGCTATTTTTGCGTTTTCTAAAAACTGTTTCTTAAATCATGCTTTATAGCATTATACCTTGCTTATTTTTAAGATTCAAAACATTGTATAATAAGTGGCCAAAATGGAAGTTTATAATATGACATTGAAAAACAAAAAAGCTTTATTTTAATGTTATTTCTTAAATATAATTCCAATACATTATCATTATTTTATTGAAATTTATCAGTGTTAGAATGTTCTATAAAAGTTGCCAAAAATTTCCCAGATTTCGAAATTAAAAATTTTCCCTAGAAACCGATCTTAAAATCGCCAAAACGTTGATAAGTCGCTAATTTAGAACAATTTAATAAAAGAATTCACATCCCCAAAAGCAGAAAGTTGTTTGAGAGCTCCTCATTACAAAAAATGAAATCATTTCGAAATGCTTTTGTGTCACTTCTTGCTCAGAAACTCGAGTATCCCACCAGTTATATTACAAATAGGAACAAATTATAATCCATTCAACCATTCAAAAAATAACCATATTTGTCAGTGAATCACCAAAAATATTGCTGCAAAATGCTAATTTACACTCAAAATGGCAGTCGTAAAAACAGACAGAAATTTCAGATTATTAAAATTAAGGACCCTTCTGCCGATTTTATCCAAAATTAAGAACTTTTAAGGACCAAAAATCGATTCCAAAAAACTTAAGAACTTTTAAGGAGTCTTAAGGACCGTACGAACCCTGTCAATTTTATTTCACAAGCTTTTGCAGAAGACAAAGAATTCTATTGGTGTACCATGCAAACTTCTGATTTTAGTTAATTATTCTTTAGATGGTGCCAATAAAACTGGTTGTTTTAATCACTTACCTTTTCCTTACATTTTATTGCACATTCAAAAATGAAAGTTACTGAATTTTTTGTTTTATGCAGCTGTTACTGTTAAATTAGAGGATCTCCAACATACTAGTGTCAGATAATGTGGATGCATTTGCTCTGTATGTTGGGGAAGAATCTTTAGCTTCAAATTCCCCTAACATGATTCAATTTTTTAAGTATTAGTTTGAGTACTGTTTAAATTTTAGCACTCTCTTCAAAACTGACCAAGTTCTTTTGGTAGTTTATGGTTTGGTAATAGTATTGTAATTAGCCTGGCCTCTTATAAGAAGGCCACTTGTCCTTGATAATTGATCCAGGTCTTACTTCCTTCTGAATTGTGGGTAATAAGCTTGCTACATCTCTTCATTCGAAGATGAAAAGACATGTCTGGAATATATCACTTCAGTGCATTAAACCAAATACCCAGGGTCTATGTATTTATTTACCATAAATTGCTGTTTAAAGAATAAATAATTAACTAAAAGTGTTATATTGCATACTAAATCAGTACCAAAGTAAAGTATATAATACATTTATATACTTTAGAAGTATATTATTCACAGTTCATTTAAAACCTTACAATAATTTAATGATACCTCTAAATCCATTGTTAAATCGTCCTACTTCTGCACAAAAGCCAAACTACAGTTTTGCTAACTCAACAATTGTTTATTTTGGAACCATGCTCTATAATACACTGCTGACCATTAAAATTGCAGCATCAGGAAGGAAGGATCTGACGAATGTCAAAATCATATGAAAGGAAGAAGAGGTTGGAATATGCAAATGATTAGTATTTCAGCAGGAGAGAGAAACAACATCTAGAGGAAATGCAGGACAGAGAAATGATATCTAGAGCACTGCATAAAAGAAAAGTTGTGTAGTGGATTTCTCATTCAGAAAATGCTTTGTAAGATTGGAGTTTGCTCAGAATATCGCGCTATGCCTCGAATAATAAGAAAAGCTCTCCATCAAGTGTCCGAATTCAATAGAGGCAGGATTGCTGCCTATCGAGACTGTGGATTACCGTTCCATGATACGGCCTGTCGCACTGGTCGACATCCAATCAGTGTCATGCGAATACAGAATCAATGGGTCGCTGAGGGTCATACTGAATAGCATGCAGGTTCCCAACACTCTCTCATGACTCATGTCTCTCATGACATATAACCATATCACAGACCAGTAGTCAGGAAATGGGCATGTTTGCAACATGCCCAGTAAACATGCCCAGTATCTATTCATATGGTGCGTCGAGGTTTGCAGCATCAAATATCAGCATGCTGACCATTGCTTCAGGTTCCCTTGACAGTGCAGCACAGAGAAAGATGGCAACTCTGGTGCACCAAACAACAAAGCTGGATAGCGGCACAATGCCGTCTTTTTAGACGACTCCTGGTTCTGCATTTAGTATTCTGATGGCCATATACATGTCTGGAGGCTTCGAGGAGACCGCACGTCACCTGCTTGCATTCGAAAATGGCATAGAGGCCCTGCATCTGGTGTGATGGTTTGGGCAGCCATTAGGCACACAAAACACACACGTCTAGTTCGGATTGTCAGTAATTTGAATGCAGATCGGTACATTTCTGACATCTTACGTCCAGTGGTTGTGCACTATCTTCGAGGCCTGCCAAATGTCATCTTCCAGCAAGATAATGCAAGACCACATGTTGCCCTTTAATTACAACAAGTTATTTATGTGTTCTGATCTTCCTCGATTCACAGGATATTCGATTACTGCCCTGGCCTGCATGCTCTCCAGATCTGTCACCCACTGAAAACATATTATCATGGGTTTTTGAGAGAGTGGCCCACCACCTCTCTCTAACTAATATGGCTGATGAAGCGTGGCATAGACTTGAAACAGCCTGGAATGAGTTGACCATTTCTGTCATCCAAGCCCAGTTCGATTACATGCCTAACCATGTAATGGCTGTTTTAGCTGACAGGGTTGTCAGCTGTTTCTACTAATTTCTCACCCTTGTAAATCCTGAACTGCTTAAAAATTTAATCATTTTGTCTTCATGCCATACTGTTTACATACAACAAATATCTTTTTTGCATTTGCTTTCCTTCATGCTGCTGCAATTTTAATGGCCAACACTGTACATTATTAAACTTATTAGCTCAAAACAGAAATGTTTTGAGATAATAAGTTTTAAGTCAAAACATTTCTGTTTTGAGATTTTTCATGCAGCTTTATTTAAATACTTTTAAATAATTTTTTAATAATAAACACTTTTTCTGACATTACAGAGCTTAAAGGTTTCATGGCATCAATGTTACCTTTTGATAACTGCTAGCTTTATCTTGAAAATCCGATCCCAAAACAAACAACTTTTAGAACTGATACCAGCTGTCAACTTCTATTGGACACTATCCATTTATGAAGAGCAGCAGTGAAAAAATGCTGCTATGGTGGCAAACTGCATATTTTATAAGTTTCATTAATAAATCCGAACTAGAGATGTGCTATTGTGTTATATTTGTTGCAATTGGAACAGTTTTGAATTTTATCAATCAAATTTTCAGTGAATTTCCCCCTTTTCTCTAAGAGATAGATTTTTTATTTCTGTAATCAGCTTCTAACTCTGTTGAATGTGGTCAATACATTTCAGTTTCTCAACAGTATCTTTCTTATAAATATCTTTATGGGAAACTGCCTAACTTTAAAACTAACTTAACAATAGGCTTTCAAGTTCCCAGATCCTAATACTGAATATTAGAATGATGTTCCATCAATAGATACACCATTCTGCATTAACATTACCGTAGTTTATTCTTCTTTTTACTACCAGTGTTGTCTGATTACAGAACCGATAGCAACTGTAGAAGCTATATTTAGAATATTTTTTGCTTATGCACAAAATGTTCTGCTTGAAATAAGAAGCATATTTAAAGCTGCACAGAGTTTCTTTGAAATTGTAGTATATAGCACATTTTCCTATAATTCTCAGCCTAAACAAAAACAATAAATCTTTATCAAAATATTTCTTTATGTTGATGAAGAAAATGCATTTATAAATAAATAATTACAGCACTGAGATTAGGTCAGTGGTTCTAAATCTGTGCTCTTATACAGCCCTAAGGACTTCATGTACACTTCTCAGAGGTTTCTCAGCCACTTCAAAATAATAAATTAAAACTGATTAAAATTAATAATAGCAAACAAAAAGTATGTGAAGAGTCAAAATCAGAAATTTAGAAATCACATTTTGAACACAGAAATTCACAAAGCTGACTTTCATGTCTCCTTTAACAGAGATGTTTGGCCATTCCTTGGAACTGCACATATAAAAAGCTTCTTACTCATTGATGACTTCTTGGAATCCGCTAAACTTCTCAAAACTTTATATGAATACACAAATAAGTACAGTCAAAAGTCGTTAATTCGGACACCCATAATCCGGAATGATCTATAATCCGGACCTCAAAGCTACAAACTTTCTGCGCATGCGTCGCGTTCACGCATGCGCACAGGCGTTTACGAGAGTGCATAAGACCCTTACAGCTGCGAATATGTTTGTGCGCATGCATGTTTAATGTGTAATGGAGTTATACGCTAAGCTAAAGTTATCTAATTCAGTTAATGTTGCAGATTGCGTTGTTCCTTAATCTTCGAATTGGATCCGGCTTATTATTTTTTGCAGACTGTTAGAGCAATTTATAAAAGTAAGCTTGAACTTTCGATTATGTCAAATAGAATTTCCGATATATATTTACTACAAAGCGAAAGTATGTTTTGAAATCCGAAATCTGTTTATCAATTTCACGCTGCTCTGTGGCAGAGGGGGGGGCAGAAACGTCATCAATAGATTAATAATAAACGTCTAATAATAAACGTCATTATTAGATTATGATAGATTAGAAAGATTATGTCAAATAGAATTTCCGATATATATTTACTAATATGCAATTTGTATCTACAAAGCGAAAGTATGTTTTGAAATCCGAAATCTGTTTATCAATTTCACTCTGTGGATTGGAAGTTGATCTGTCAGCACTATCCTTATCTTCAGAGCAGATGTTTTTATTTTATTTGGTTTATAATTCCGTACTAAGTGTAGTATTTCATCTCGATATACTCCATCTTTGATATGATTTAAATCAAGTTCCTCGTGGTTAAAATTCGCTTCCAATAGTGAAGAAAGTGACCCAGAGGTTATTGAAAACGAACACATTTCGATTGACAGATTAGTCAGTATTCTCAACACAGCAATTATAGGACTTGAACAGCGGAACTTTGTAACTAAACAAGAAATTATGTCTGTTTAATAGAATTAAAGAGAAAGATTATCACATGAAACGAAGCAACTTATATTGAAGGAAATGTTTAATAAAGTAAACAAATAAATATTAAGCTTTTTCTTTTTGTAAATTTTGATACCCTTTAGATCATAATTGTTTTTTATTTCATAAATTACGGCTTCATATTTTTAATTTTGTAATTTATGCATGCCATCTTACCAGATTTAAATTTGATGATCTATAATCCGGAAAAATCGATAATCCGGAATCGCCGAAGTCCCGACGAGTCCGGATTAACGACTTTTGACTGTAGTTGATTTGAAGTTATTTCACAGAGAATGATCATAAAGATAACACTGTGATTTATCTGAGATTGTCCCACAAATGTTAGAGCATTTAATGTCTTCGTGAGGTTTAGTTGTGAAGGTAATATATTTTCATTAGTAAAGGTGATAAACACCAAACCCTATATACTAATGTAGGAAGAATATGGAAAGCCACTATCTATCCCTTCTATTGCAAACCAAAATAAGGTGGTTGTCTCAAAGAATAGCACATATAATTGATGCAACTGCATGCACAGGTAGTAACATTTTTAATGACCATTGGCAATGGTTCAAAATGATGAAATCTGAGTAAGTAAAATGCCGTTGTTACAAAATATAGCAAGCAGAAGAATGCTGTTGCCACCTTTTCACATTTTTACATTTAGAAATTTTACATTCAGAAATGTAACTGGCAATTAGTGGTTGAATGTATGCCAGATTTGCTTTAAAGATGCTCAAAGGAACAGATGTGCTGTTTAAAGATAAAACTATATGCTTGGATGTCCATTAGACAAGGTCTAAATATGATGCACCTTTGTGTATACATATCTGTATAATCATGTTTTAACGCCTGTAGAAAAATTTTCCTGTGTGTTAAAGTTAAAAAATGCTTTAAACAATAGTTTTCCAATGACAAAATAATTAAATTATTAAATAAAAACAAAACAGTACTTGTATTTCTTCTTCCTTTTGGCCTTAGTCTTCCAAAAGGACCCATAGTTGCATAAAGATCAGAAACATTCATGTAATCCTGAATATCAACAACTCTTTTGCAACTAATATCAGACATACCTGAAATATAATATCCAAATAATCAAAAACTAATAAATATCCATAGACACATTTATCACAATAAAATTTATTGAAATGCTACAAATAAATGAAAAATTGTTTAATCTATTTCTATGAAACATACCTCCTATTTATACTGACGAAAAAAAGAATACCGACACCTAGGAGGAGTTGTGCTAGATAAACGAAATTTGGTAGGTGTATTTATACATTTGAAAGATGATGTCTATTCAAATTTTGCACTAGGCACATAATTGTCATGCTAGTAGTGCTACTATCAACATGCAAATCAGCTCTGCTTTAAATACACACTCTAAAGTTTATAAGCGTTACTTATCATTAAGATTGATATAATCAATTTATTCAGAAGTCAAACAACAAAAATCAGCGTTATATTTTCAAATTTTCACAGGACTAGTTTCGATGGTGGTTTGGTAAAACCATCAAAACTAGTCCTGTGAAAATTTGAAAATATAACGTTGATTTTTGTTGTTTTGACTTCTGAATTAGTATTTGTTCGGCATGTTATTGTGTCTTAATTAAACAATTGATGCTAATCAAGAATGCCTTTATGAAGACAAAGAAGCCATTATCAACAGCTACTTTAGTTTGAATGAGCTCATGTAATAGGACTACAAAGAAGGAGGATTTTCTTTCTGCGATATTGCAGAAAGTCTTGGCATAAAGGTATTCATCATGCATAATTGTTGGCAGCAGTGGTCAAGGGAAAATATTTGCTCAAGAAAAATAGGTTCCAGGTGGCCACATAGCAGTACTGAGAGGGAAGACTGCCATGTTTGGCGTATGGCTGTAGCATGTCAAACTGCATCTGTAGTAGAAATTTCACTTGCAGTTGTTAAAAATAAGTTACTTGAAGGACAGCTCCGAGCCTGATGCCCTGTAGCATGCATTCCACTGAGTCAAACCACTGTCATTTGTAACATAAATGGTGTCAAGCTAGAGCTCATTAAAGGATAGAGTGGAGATATGTTGCATTTTCTGATGAAAGCTGGTTCTGCCTTGGTGCCAATGATGGCTGTGTGTGGGATAGAAGGAGGCCAGGTGAGCACCTGCAACCAACCTGTCTGCAGCCTAGACACGAGAGGGATTATAAGAGGGATTTTTCACGAAACACAATTCATTAAGTGTCTCCTGTATTGAGTTTGAGTGTTTGTTAAATAATTAATAAATGGTGTGTGCAAACTTTTAGTAGCCTTTCTGGATTTAAGAAGACAGCCTTCACAGCGTCAACATCTATTTATGAGCAAAGAAACTTAAGATTTAAGATTAAGAAGATTTAATATTTGTTTCAACTGTTTAATTAGAATTTAGATTGCTCGTGAAACCAACCTTCCTCCTCTGACTGAGAGGCATTCTCAAAAAAATCTTTATTTCTAGGTTTGATTGGGATCAGTTTCATTTATTTTTGATTGAGCTACTGCAGCTTCTTGACAGGAAACATTTCACATACAAATCTTTTTATAAAGTCTATTTCGACACATTGTAATTGTAGTGACATTACCACTTTGATCACTGCACTTTTTCCGTTGTCTCCTGTGTTGAGTTTGAGTGTGTGTTAAATGATTATTAAATGGTGTGTGTAAACTTTTAGTAGCTTTTTGGATTTAAGACAGCTTTCACAGTGTCAACATCTATTTATGAGCAAAGAGACAAGGTAAGAAGATTTAAGATTATTCTGTTTGTTTCAACTGTTTAATTAGCATTTAGATTGCTCGTGAAACCAACCTTCCTCCTCTGCCTGAGAGGCATTCTCAAAAGATCTTTATTTCCATGTTTGATTGAGATCGGTTTGATTTATTTTTGGTTGAGATACTGCAGCTTCTTGACAGAAAACATTTCATATACAAGTCTTTTTATAAAGTCTATTTCGATGCATTGTAATTGTACAGTGACATTACCACTTTGATCACGGCACTTTTTGCACTCCTTCGATTTCAGCAAGAAAATCAAAAAGAACATCAGATTCTTCCATGCCCCGATTAATTAAAAAAAAGAAATAATTATTATTTGTTTGAGTAACATTGAGCAGGAAGTGATCAGTAACTGACATGATAAAATTTGAAATCTAAATCCTAAGGAAAAACATAAGCGTCAATAAACAACGAACATTACGCAGCGACGTTGATCTCGAACTTTCCGGTATTCAAGTCTCTCTATGGTTCGATGGGCTTGCCCCTTTTATGCTTTCAGCGCAAAGGGATGCCTGTGTGCCAAGTTACAGATACATAGATTCATCTCTGAGTTCCTAGAGGAGCTGGTTTAGTTTGGAAGAACAGACCTGGACATCTGAGTAGAACATCCTTAGTCGAATCTTTTGGAAATACTTTGGGAAAGATAAGCCTTCTGATGCTGTATTAAAAGCAATCACGGAGATACAGCAGCAATAAACTATATGAGACTAGTTTAAACTTGGCAATAATCTCGGCGCCATATTGATAATAGGGGCCATAGAAATCCAGTAGTACCAAATTATTTTAAGTAGATCGAATCCAAAAACAAAACTTGCAAAAACAATTACTTGTGGATCGAGTCCAAAAACATGTAAAAGAGAAGTAATCCAACATATGAAAACAATTAATGAAATAAATGAAAATTTGATCAAAAATACAAAACAATTAATAACACAGAGGAGTAAGTTCTTAAAATCTGGAACACAAGAGTAACAGAAGCTTTGAGATGAAACTACATATTCACCTGTATAGTAAAAAAGCTAAAATATGTAAAGTAATGAATTTACAAAAACTATGTATTTTAAAGGTTTGCTTGCGAATTAAACACTGGGGGTCCTGCGATAAGCTGACCACTTGTTCAAGGCACATGCTTACGCACCCCGGGGCCCACGATCAAGAAAGCAGATTTTGGGGCACTGCAGGCCTTGGCTCATAAGGGCTGTTTGCGCCACTGAGTTTAGTTTACGTATTTTAAACTGAGTAAGCACATTAAGGAAAACTGGAAAAACTTCTATTGTAACATGAAAACTGTAGTAGTAGTAAAACTAAAAAATCTGAAAAAGAAAAAAAATCATCAAATTTACCTAGATTTGGAATCTGAAAATACTGCAAGTGAAGTATTAATTCGCTTCAGTTCAATGAATGAAATAAGCGAAGTTACATTCATTGAGCTGCAGCAAAGTGAAATCTTTTTTAGGGATTACTCCCCCCTGGGGGTTGACTGTGAAACTACTGGCTAGGATCTGTACATGGGCAATCTTGGCCACAAGGGTCACATAATTATTGAGCTTAATGGTTCCCCTGCCCTCTGGAAGATACCTTGAGACTGAACTTAATTGTCCCAGTCAGGTGGGTGGCATAAGTCATACAACAGATGGTTCTGTAGCTTGGTGTGGGATGGCACCGAGTTTGCTATGTAATGTGCTGATGTGACACGCAGTCTGCATAGTATTGTTGGGAGCATTTAAACGACCACTCAGTCAGGTGTTCAGGTCATGCTCTCACTAAGAGCCGAGAACAGGGAGTTGGTGACCCCTCGGGCCCGGCTTGTCTGTGGGGGATTAAAGTAGAGTTTTTCTTGTCTGCAGCTAAGAGTTGGTGTGGGACCCAGTTCTCCAGACACAAAAGAGTTTGTTTCAACTCCTAAGCGGAACTACAATTAATGTAGGCTTCGGCTAAATTTTGGAATTTGTCGCCCAGTATTCCCGCCTGCTAAAAAAGAGTTTAAAATGTGGTCGAACATGCTGCGACCTCCCCCTGCCTGATATGAGAGTTCTGAGAAGGAAGCAGTAGCCTTGGTTGCACTGAGCTGCAGGAAAGGAGTTCAAAATTTAATTAATTAATTATTCAGGGTTTAACCAATATGCATCTGCATTGCTGTGCTATGCAAGATCTTACGATGCAGATCAATTTTGATATAATGATGTTTAGATTGATATGTTACAAATAGTTACTATTTTTAGGGCTGAAAGGGGAAGTACCCAAATTGAAATGAAGAATGAAAGTGGCTATTGCTAATTAAAATTAGTAGTTCACTTTCATGTTTTTATCTTACATATACCTGTTGGGACTTAAAACCCCAGTTCTCCTAAGTATTGCAAATAAATTTGGGAAACAGCAAGACTTCATATATTACGTATAATAAATACAGCAGTGTGAAAAAATTCACAGTATTCATTGCAAAAAAAGAAGTAATTATAAAAGAAATTAAGAAAAGATAAAGAATTAACAATTAGCCTTCTTACCATGATCTGAAATAATTACAACATTAACACAGTTAATAAGGTTCCTTTGTTGCAATCCAGAATATAACCGTCTTATCATTTGATCTACTTTTGCTAAAGCATCATTTGTCTAAAAAAAAAAAAAAAGGCGATGTCAATTGAAAACTAATTAACTGTAATTAACTGATTTATTCACTTATATATAGCCATAACATTAGGACATAATATTAACTTATATACACACATATATATATGTAAACTGTTGTACAATAGCTAGGAACAGATCACAAACTGCTATGTCACATAACATTAAGTGGGGGTTGAGGCTAAGCAGGATAAAACTCCATTGCCACATTTAGACATTAGAATAAACAATATTTATTGCTCAGGAAAATACAGAAGGTTTTGAAACACCCAATAGTAAAAAAGTGTTATTTTGATGCTATGTAAGACAGGTAATTAATCCTGCCTAACCAAAGTTGGTAAATGCAGGATTATTAAAGCCAATTATTTAACATTTTAATCCTTAACCACCATACTAAGACTCAACTTTAAAAACTGGAAGACTCCATAGAGCCAACAACAAATATAAATTATAATTTAAATTAGCAATAGCCTCTTAATTCCTCATTTTTAATTTCGGTATTTCCACTCTCTATTCTAAAATAGTAATGCCTTTTTCTGCACAGCATCATTTCTAAATGAATCCATATCACATGACTTGCATTATGCTGATGATATAGTAAATTCAGAACTTAAATCTAAACTTCTTGTTAATAGGCTGCCATATTGGATAATTGCACACTTTTGCTTCTAGCTCTTTTGCTCTTACGATGCCGGCATGATGCTTTTCTTTTATTGCAATAGTAATCAAAAATGTAAAATTGTTCTTGAATAGGCATGATTAGAATGTCAAATGATTGGGCTGCAAATGCCAATTGAAATAAAAATGAATATTTAATCTACCTCAAATACCAGGTTTCCTCTTCATTATGGATCAATATCTGTTCTATGCTATCAATATTGCAATCTTTTTTATTACACACACACATATATATATGCAGGGTAATCATAGAAAGACTTCTTTGATATATACACCCCTAGTGGCCTATCTGCTCAACCATTCGAAAAGAAATTTCAGATATTGTTATTTAAAAGTATGCACTTGAGACTGTGATTTAAAAAAATAAAGCTCTCACGTTTATGGTTACAGCGAAAAAATTTTGAGATTTTTGAACAGCAACATCCAGTTTTTTCTTGTGCAAATCGATCAGCACATTAAAAAACCATAAATGGCTTTGGAATGATACACACATGATGAAAACTGCTGCAGGAAAATGTTTCCAAAGAAGAGCATTGTAAAGGACTAATGACAACACAGAGGGGATAACTGACGCACTTTGCATAATTCATAGAGATACACAGCAGAAGCACCAGAACACCATATGCAAAATATCACTTATAGAAAACCTTAATAAGCAGCGTGGAAAGACTGTTTCTTTAATCAGTACACATGTCAACAAAATGACACTTAAAGGGAAACAATGAGGTGAATTGATAAAGCTGTTTCATATGAACGAAGAAAGTGCTGCCAAAACAGAGGGAGTTTATCAGTGAAATTATAAGTTAGGATGAGTTTTCTTTTCAATAAAAACTGTAAGTGATTTGGTTAAAAAAAAAATTGAAGAAACTGGATGCATGTGATCAGCACAACTGTACATTCCTGTTAAAGTTGTTGTGAAAGTGTATAATGCAACTACTGCAGATCCGTTGCAAACTGCAAGAAGTGATGCTGGCAGCTCACATGTATCAAAAAATGCAGTCCTCCAGCTTCTGCACTCTGCTCTGTGGATGTTTTCTTATCGATTCCAACATGTCCAGATGTTGCAACGAGAACAGCAACAGCATGTTGAATTTGCGAATGTTTTTCTCATCAGGTATGACAAGGTTCGTACACATTTCTGCAGACGGAAATTAAGTACTTTTAAGGACTTTTAAGGACCATTAATGGAAAAAATTAAGGACCTATGAGCAATTGGAAACTGAATAAATTCAATTTAAAATATTATCTATGCCTGAATTTCACTTTTGTAATACCATTCTAAAAATAAAATCGATCCCTAAGTAGTAAACTTATTACTAAACATGAATTGATTAACATAATTATTAATAAGTTTGAGAATAAAATAAACTTTAGAGAGAGACCTGCTGATTTGAACAAACCTGAAAGGCTTGATGTAGGTACGGTTGGCAAGTGTTGAAAGTCAGTCAGGCTCTTTTTGATGCAGTTAGTGTCGTAGCTTCGTGTAGAGTTTCAGGAATTGTAACCCAGTTAATATACTTTATGTTTCCAATAAGCCATTAAAGCACCAGAGGTGATAAGTTGTTTTGTATTATTTTAAGTTCGACTAGATGCAAAGAGAAAGTTTTACTTTAATTTTTACATTTTTGTAATTTATCTTGTGACCACAACGAGTGTTAATGAAAGGCTTTTTAAGGATAAACAGTTAGTTATCAATAATTAAATTAGGTAGTTTAATAACCTTAGTCATTATGGATTTACATGGCCACTATTAAATTTTATTTTTTAACAATATTTGTTAAAAAAGCCCAGTTAAAATCAAAATCTAATAAAATTTCACAGTTTAAAATACATGTAATTTATGACATTGATTCTTAGGATAATTGCACATTAAAAGCTATAAACATTTATGTTTTGTAACAACAACACTCAACAAAATATTTATCCGTCATTTTAATTTGAAGCCTTCCCAGACATTTTGGCTAGTTTATATCGATTTCCTTCTCTTTAAGCTTCTTTTCTAACAATTAGAGATTTGTTTCAATATGCAAACCAATGCTCTTGCTAGTTTCTCTGTGCTTTATCTCCTAACTTGTCAACCTCTCCACAATGTACCTATGAGAGTTTACTTGATTTGGTAAAAGTTAAATAGTCCAAAACTCCCGACAGATGTGAAGCATATTATCGCTATGTCTGAAAGTAACTACAATATCAGACAAAGGTTTAAATAAGCCTCTTATTTAAAAAGAATGTAGAACATAAAGGCATGTTCTGATGCTAACAAAATCAATTACAGCTCACGGTGACATAATTAAACAAGAACAGTCAAATTCAAACTAAAAATATGGACTAGTGGTCAAAGATTATACAATTTAATGTTAATTTAATCTTGCTTAGTAACTCTATCATATGAGGAAATAGAAATGGTAAATTATAGTAAAGACTTGAAATCATAAGTGATTGGGTAATTTACATAATAATAACTGCACAATATCTTTGAAGAAGAAGAATCTTTATGTTTTCAGTTTCTTTCTTCAACACGTTTCCTTTCCATTTTAGAATTTTGGGATTTAATTAAGGATTTCTGTTATTCTAAAAAACACTAAATGCATTTAGAATGTACAGAGAAAGCGGCTAATGTTATTTCTTTAGTAATATGAATATTCAGAATAAATATGAAATATATATGGTAAAGGTTAGTTACAAAGCTGACATGGCAGAATTTTTAGAATTGAATGACACACTAAACAACAAAATCTAGAAATGGCCAAACTTTTAGAATTTAGAGCTGGCATTAAAAGCATTTAGAAAGGCACTAGGCAATAGAATTTAGGATCCACAGAGATTGCATCAAGTGGGGAAAATGCCTAGTGCCAGCTATGTGTATGGTGCATTAAGACATATTAGATAAATCTTTTAAAGTGTAAATTTTCAATTTCTTTATTAATAAAAAATTCCTTTCTACAATGCCTGCCCATATGATAAGATTAGATGCATTTTTGATATTTTTCCATGCTTGTGTTTAGTGAAAAGTAGAGAAAATAAAGGGAAGACAAACATGTTAAGATTCTAGTATCAGAAGTAAAACATTCAAATATTATGTTTTCATTATTCTTCCAGATGTTCTCCAAAAACTAAGAAATTCATTGCAAACTTTCTGTAAAATTTATCCATTATGTGTTGATACCATGAAAACATTTTTCATTTTGTCACATATTTCTCGAATCGTGGCTCTATATATCTTGCCTTCAAATCCTTCCAAACTCTCCAAGCTGCAATGTCTAAAATCCTAAAGAAAAATTATTCCTACCGATTCTGTAACAGCAAAAGGCCAGAAATAGTTTGGGGGGGAAAGGAGGGAAAAAGTGTAAAATTAATTTTATAGAGAAAACTGATGCATAGAATTCTAAATACATGCGAAAAACTCTTACTATGAAAATATTAAAAAGAAGACATTTTTAATTAATTACATAGATAATTTTGCTTTTGCTAAAAGCTGTTTCGTAAATTGTGCTTTATAGCATTATACCTTGTTTATTTTTCAGATTCAAAATATTGTATAATAAGTTGAAAAAATGAAACTTTATAATATGACAGCGGAAAATAAAAATGTTTTATTTTAATGTTTATTTAATATAATTTCAATACATTACCATTATTTTAATGAAATTTACCAGTGTTATGATGTTTTAAAAAAAATCGTCGAAAAATTCTCGGATCTCGAAATTAAAAATCTTCTATAGAAACTGACTTAAAATCGCCAAAATTTTGATAAGTCGCCAAATTTAGAACCGTTTAATAAAAGAATTCCCATCACCAAAAGCGAAAAGTTGTTTATGGGCTCTTTATTAGAAAAATTGAATTTCGTTATGTTTATGTTTCAATTCTTGTTCAGAACCTTGAGTATCCCATCATTTATATTAGAAATAGAAACAAATTATAACCAATGAACCCATTCAAAAGATAACTATATACATCATTGAATCGCCAAAAATATTCCTCCAAAATGCTAATTCACACTCAAAACGGCAGTCGTAAAAACAGACAGAAATTTCAGATGATTAAAATTAAGGACCTTTGCTGATTTTGGCAAAATTAAGGACTTTTAAGGACCAAAAAACGATTCCAAAAAATCTAAGGACTTTTAAGGACTCTTAAGGACCGTACGAACCATATATGATGAAGAAAGCAGGTGGATGCTGCGAATCCTATGGATGGATGAAGTGCATTTTTCCTTAACTGGGTATTTAAACTCCAAGATCTTTGTTCACTGGGCTGATGAACCAACGCCTTTACATGAAGATAAAGTTACAGTATGATGTGCCATC